ATGATTTCAAGAGTTTCTTTTATCGGGACTTGAATGAATAGTAAAACCACATCGAAACTTACAAGCAGATCTTCTTGTTCCACATGTAGATCTTTGATTATTTCCAAGAAGTGGTATGAGTTTTGTACATGTGAAGCTGCTGTTTCAGCATGGGGCTGTAGCTGTTTTGCTAAGTGTTTAGCTAGGTTTTGTAGTGGTGCTCCTCTGGAGCTGACTATGGGTCTGAGAGGTATGCCTTCTTTGTGTATTTTTGGGAGGCCGTATAGTTTGGGGCATCTGGAAGATTTTTCTCTTGGGATGATCGTCTGTTGAATCTCTTTGCTCATGTGACTGGTTATAATTTTCTTCTTGATTAATTTTTCCAGATATGTGGTTGGGTCCGTGTTTATGGGTTTGTATGTGGAGTCTTGGAGTAGGTCTGCCAATTTTGTTTCGCAGACTTTTCTATCCATTACTACTGTGGCATTACCTTTGTCTGCTGGAAGTATGATTATGCTGCTGTCGTTTTTTAGGGCTTGCAGGGCTTTTAGTTCCTCTTTGTGCAGGTTGCTTTTGGGTGGTTTGCTTTTGCACAGGATGTTAGTAACTTGGTGTCTTATTCTATCAGCTTCATCTGTATTTAATTTAGTTAGGCTGGATTCTACTGCACATATGATGGATTCTGTGGGGATTATTTTGGGTGCTATAGCATAATTGAATCCTTTGGTTAGGACATCTGTTTCTGTTTTGGTGAGTTCTCTGTATACTAATTATTTCAGGTGTTGTTGTGAGTTGTTGGGGGCTTTCTTGTCATGTTCTAATTTCTTTAGTTTCTTCAAGAGTTTGTCATTTTTGTAAGTGGTTTCCGTTTCTGAAGATTCTGCCGAAACGTTGCTACAACTTTAAAAGCACAACTATAATGACATGGGAAAATACCCGAACAAAGCTGCATATGTGTGTGTGTGTGTGTGTGTGTGTGTGTGTGTGTATGGTATTCAGCTTTTTTCGGGTATTTTCCCACGTTGAATACCATACATGTAAGTACCCGTGAAAACTTAAGAAAACATATGTGTGTGTGTGTGTGTGTGTGTGTGTGTGTGTGTGTGTAGATTATTAAAGATTTTTTTTCTTTTCACTGGAGAATTTATACCATTAATGTTCATTGATATCATCTCACATCTTTCTCCTCTCCTATCCATTTCTTTGTCTGGTTCTTCTTGTTGCTCTAATTTCTTTAGGCTCTTTAACCTTTCTTTCATATTCTTCTACTTTTCCTTGTCTCCCATATCGTTTTTCTTTAATATTTAATGAACTTCCTTCTATGTCCATTGTTTCTATTTCTCTTTCTTCTGTTTTTTTCTTTTTCTGTCTCTTCCATCTCTTCCTCATTGGTGAATTGTTGGTCATAACATTCTTCTGCTTTATCAACTGTGTCCTGCCAGGTGACCATAATTCCTTCTGGTATCAACCATCGAAAGTTCACATTATATTTTATCAATTTTGTCGTTAAAAAGTGATAGAGTCTTCTTAGATCTCTTTTCCTCCTTGGTACTTGTTTCAAGACAATAGTCTGTTTTCCGCCATACTCTATTGGGTCATCTTTTGTTCTGTGCAATATTTCATCATGAATTGACTTTTTTGATCAGATGGACATGGACTTATCTTGGAAGACTGTGTCTCCTTGCATAATTTGTCTGCACCCTATACAGCTAGTCCATCTCTGTCAGCATCTCTTCTTTTTCCATCCCCAATGTTTTCGCAATCATATCTGCCATCACATCCGGTACGTCTTCCCCCTTTCCTTCCTTCATGTTTTGAAACCTCAACTAGTGAACTGCTTTTTCTGCTTCTAAAAAGATTACTGTTTCTAACCCTTTATTTGTTTGTGCCAATTTTCTGGTTAGCTCGTCAACCCTTTTTTCTTCCTTCTCCATTCTTGCCTCCATTTCTACTAATTTCTGTTGATTTTTTTGTACCTCTTGTTGAAAGCATTCAAATTTCTCATCCATTGTTTGTATTTTTTCTTTTAATTCAGTATTCATGACCGCTATCTCCTTTTTCATATCTTCGTGATTTTTCAACATCATTTCTTGCATACTTAACATTAAGCTTTGTAAATCTTTTATGGAGTTTAATCTTTCTCTTGGCAGCATTTCATCAATGGATCTCTGTGTGGAGGGACTTGCCAATGTTGCCATTGTCACCGTTTGTGTGGGTATTTTTTTCCCATTCCTATCTTCGTCAAATTAGTGGTGCTAGTTATTTTTAACAGCCTTGTCACAGTATTACTTTTAATCCACCACTCCCACTTCCTTTCTTAAACCCTCCACTTCTATAAACCTTTGTTTTAGAACACAGTATAACATAATATATATCTTCTTTCTATCTTACATCAGTAATAAAGAGAACAAAGTTAACCTCAGTTGTCACGACTTGTCTTGTATCAATTTTCTAATGGTAATAATAATGATAATAATAGGTTTCTACAACTATTCCCCAATATTCAGTAATATATAATCAATAATTACTTAATAATTACTTAATCACTTATTGGCTACTCGATAATCTCAATTTATCAGTTGTTAAAGTCAATACTATCTATTAATTTATATTGTACCAATAATATATTAATAAATTTGTGTTATTATATTATTACTATATAGCTCTTATCCCAAAAATTAATTCTTAGTTGAACTAGAATAATAATATCAATAATATATATTAATAAATATAATATTAACAAAATTAATTAATTAATTTAATAAATGTAAATTGATGTAGCTAAATTGAATAGTAATATATAGTATATAATATATAACAATCTAATATGATATATAATAGCATAATAGTATCAATCAAGTATCAAAAACCTTAATATCAAATGTATAAATTTAGAAACAAATATAATATAATATATACTAATATAATATTATAATATTATCAATTTCAATTATCAGAAACCTTAATATCAAATATATAAATCTAGAAATAAAATTAATATCACTCTCAAATATCAGAGGTCTTAATTTTTTCCAAAACTACTTTTAAGTCTGTTACTTTTGGTTACTTTTTAGTTTCAATCCAATCTTCTTTCTTCTCTATAGCCAGCAAAAAAGAAAAGAAAAAGTCCCATCAAGTCTTTTTCAATTATCAGCTCTCCAAATATATTACTCCAAATATAATCCAATCTTCTTTCTTCTCAATGGCCAGTAGATGTCCCTTACACACTACCACACTGTCTCTTTGTCTGTTCTTAAATTTGCTGTGTCACTATCTCTGCACCATCCATATTAAGTCCAAAGTCTCATGATTCAAATACTCTCAATTTTCCATTCAAAAGAAAAATATCCAATAAAGTCCCTTGCAATTATCAGCTCTTCAAATATATTACTACAAATCTTCTCACTGTTCCTGTATCCAGTACTCTATTTCCTTTGCTTCTTCTCTATCTTCCTTCTGATCTTTCCACCTGCAATTTATCTTGCTGCTCCGTTCGGTGCTAGCTAGGGCTGGTTCAATCTGCCAGGCTTCACTTGTTAACTCTCCTGTTGCACTCTAATCTTTTCGCTTTACTCACTTTGAGGTTGGTTTTCAAAATCATTGGTTCTCATTACACCATTGTTCCACTATATCATCACTAATGTGTTCTGCTGTCAGCCTTCATGTATGGCCATTGCTGGTTGTTCTTTCTCTGTCCGCTCATTCCAGGTTATCTTCCGATCTCCAACACAAACCACCGCCTGTGTAGGGTCTTCGGAACCCCCACACTTTCAGAAAGTCCTACGAGTCTCCCTTTGACTCCGAAGAGTCCTGCAAATGGAGGTAGAGGGTCGTGCTCCTTAGCGTCTCTCACTCGCATGTCCCCTCTCCTTGACAGCTGGCCCCACCCCCTCATTTTATTCCATTTTTAACCATGTTTTGTAAGTTTGGTACCAATGAGTCAATACAAAATGCCTGCATCTACCATGGTTCGTCTTTTAATTGTACTGTTTAAATTATTAAAGGGGACTATTTATTTATTTGATTGCTGTAGCCACCCATCTCAACAAGTGACATGGGACAACATTCATTACAAAACATAAAAACAAATAAAACATTGAAATGATTAAAGCAGCACAAAATAAATATATACACCCCCAAGCAAAACTGTTACTATGAATATAAATACATGCCCTTAACACATTTGAAATTCCAAGCCTGAGCCCATGACCAAGTCTTCATGACCTTTATGAAAGGCCACCAGGTTGGAATTATTCTACTATCTGGAAAATATTCCAGAAAATAGGGGCTACCCTAGAGATGGCACATCTCTTGGTTCCCAAACCCAACATTCTTTGACTGATACGATTCACATAACATGCCCAACCTGCCTGACCAAATTGGTCTAGTAGAAATTACTGGAAGAAGACAGTCCCTTAGGTATCCTTATTGTTATGCTAATATATGTTTATTCATCTATTTGAAACAAGTAAAAAACAATTCATAATTCTACTACAATGCTTTAGTAAATTGACTTAACGCATTTACTTGAAATTGGCCAACTGATTTGAAGCAAATTCCTTATTCAAACCTTTATTCCAAATAATCAAAATTTAAAAAAAAATCTAAGGGGGAGGTTTCATTCATTCAATTGGTCTTACAATAGTCTGAGTATTAATTCTCACAAAACACCAATTTCTAAAAGATAAAATGATGCCTATAATAAATGCAGTCTTCTACTTACTATATTTCGCCCTATTACATTTAAAGGAAAATGTTAATTGTACCTGTTTTCTTTTAAATTCTGCTACAAATTAAAATATTAAAAATGGAGTGAGACAGGAGACTGATAAGTACCAAGAATTATTTATAGGCATATTGGGTATCCTATAACAGCAGTAACATTCTTTAATATGAATATAATTTTTTTCTCCCTGTTCAACTGTGTCAGATTTTTATGCCTTCATATTAATAGTTACAACTAGAATATTCCTATACTGCATCAATCACAACAAACCTTAAAATATGTACTTAAGCTTTACCGTAAACCCGCATCCTCATAATGGGGATGATTCACAATAGGTCGTTGTGCAGATAGTTTTACACTTGCCATTGTAGGCATTGCACCGGCAAAAACAGCATCTGAAATAACAGGATATCTGAAAATGCAGGAATAATTGGAAAAAGAACTAGAAACTACCATACATTTTTAGGTTGTATCAAATCTAAAACTGAATAAAAATCAACTTCTACCTCCAACCATAAAAATTTATAGAATTAAACATAATTTTGTAAATGTTTTCTTTCTATTTAAAGAATGGCCTTTCCATTCAAAATGCATTTTATAATTCCACATAATAGTATTTATAAAGACAGTTCTTTCTTAAACTGTATCACTTACATGGCAGTCACAAGAAATCAAGGCACCAGGAAAAACATTTCAATGTTAAAAGTGCCAAACATTTTAGTAGATTTTACATTCTATATTGCAATAAGAGTTGTTCTACTCTTGTTTTACCTGGCTTAGTATTTGCTTTTATCCACAACAGTAGTTCTTCCTGGGGCAAATTGCTAAATTCTCCCACAATACTCCATTCTTTTTGAAGATTTGCTATTCCCTCAAATGCCATCATTGCCAAAATTGCAAGAACAAGTGTTCCAGGTTGGATTTTGTAAAAAACCCATCCAAATAACTGTGAAAGGAAATGATTAGGCACAAAGTGATTATTAATTTCAGTTTTAAGTTTTAAAACATTATATCAAACTATTTTAAAACACAGTTCATGCTGATTTAATCACTAAAGTTAATTGCAGTAATTATAAATATTCATCATTATGACTACTTAATTTTATATTTATTTAAAAAGACTTGAAAACTGTTGTTAATGCCAATAGAAAAGCATGTCTAAAAAGTGCTTTTTCAAAAAGGCAATTGAACTTTCTTTGTTTTTCCTTGAGCAAAAAACAAAACCCAGTTGCTTTTTAAAAAAGCACTTTTGAGCAACAATGAAAAGGAATCATCTTATGAATTTCTTGATGCATCAAGAAATTGACAGTTGTATGATAAACTCACTTTCACCAAATCAGATAAAACAATAGAATAGAAATACAGAGTTGGAAGGGATTTTGGATGTCTTCTAGTCTGACTCCTTGCTGAAGATGAAAACCCTATACCATTTCAGAGAAATGGTTGTCCAATCTCTTCTTAAAACTTTCAGTGTTGGAGCATTCATAACTTCTAGAGGCAAGTTGTTCTATTGATTAATTGTTCTAACTGTCAGGAAAGTTCTTAGTTTTAGGTTGCTTCTCTCCTTGATTTATTTTCTATTCATTGCTTCTTGTCCTGCCATCAGGTACTTTGGAGAATAGCTTGACTCCCTCTTCTTTGTGGCAACCCCTGAGATATTGGAACAGTGCTATCATTTCACCCTTAGTCCTACTTTTCATTAAACTAGACATACCCAATACCAGCAAATGTTCTTTATATATTTTAGCCTCCAGTTCCCTAATCATATGTGTTGCTCTTCTCTGCACTCTTTCTAGTCTCAACATCTTTTTTATATTGTGGCGATCAAAACTGGATGCAGTATTCCAAGTGTGATCTTACCAAAGCATTATAAAGTGGTACTAATATGTCATGTGATCTTGATTCTGTTGTTGTTGTTGTTAGTTGCAAAATCATGTCCGACTCATCGCAACCCCACAGACAACATTCCTCCAGATCTTCCTGTCCTCTACCATCCTCTGGAGTCCATTTAAGCTCACACCTACTGCTTTAGTGACTCCATCCAGCCACCTCATTCTCTTCTTCTATTGCAACTGTCACCAACCGGTGGGCTGCGGCCCACTGGTGGGCTATGAGAAAATTTCTGTGGACCCCAGCATGCTGAGGTGGAGAGGTGGGGCAATCCTGCAGTCCTGCTAGCAAACTCCTATCGTGGCTGCTGCCTTCTGCCTCAGTGCATCGAGGAGGCTGAGTAGCAGCGGGAAGAGTGTGGACCTCCTGAGCCGCAGGAAGCAGCTGTCCTCAGGTGAAGATGTTGCAAGGGGGAGGCTCGACCCCCTCTTCCTCCTCACCAAAACTGCTCACATGCTCAAGGGGAAGGAGGAGGCTTGTCAGGGGCCAGAGGGGTGGTGAACACTTTGCGTGTGAGTGCTTCTGGTGAGAACGAAGAGAAGCTCTGGGGGGGCACAGGAGATTGTGCCCTCCCCTTGAAGCCCAATAAACACCCAAGAAGGGCTCCAATGCCACAATCTCCCACACTCCTGCCCTCAGGAGCTTCTCTTCCTCCTAGCCAGAATCACTCACACGCTTAGCGGGAAGGAGGCGGCTTATCGGGGGCCAGAGGGGCGGTGAGCGCTTTGCGTGTGCGTGCTTTTGGTGAGAAGGAAGAGAAGCTCCTGGAGGGGGAGTTGAGCCTCCCACTTGCAACATCTTCCCTGAGGGGGGTGGAATGCCTTAGGGGGGTGCTAAGAGGCAAGGGGGCCAGCAGAGGGATGCTAAGAGATAGCAGGGGGCACTGGAGGTAGGCCCCTCATAGGGCGCAATTCAGGGATGGGATTCTACCAGTACACTATTGTTCCCAGTAGTTTGGAGAACCAGTAAAATGGGCCCCCGGTTGGCCCTGCTCCTCTGTTCCCTGCCCAGTCAGTCCTTATTGAGCACGCGCAACATCGCACACATGTGCAACAATTGCTGACGGCCACAGTGGAGCATTGGAGAAGAGGAGCAAGCAAAGCCAGAGGTTGGTAATTTTCGCTGCAAAAAGCATCCAGACACCGTGGGGTTTTTTTTGTTTTTTTTTTGGGGGGGTGCAGCTGGAGTCGAGCCACACCAAAAAAACCATGCAGCTTCTGAAGGTTTTTTGCAGTGAAAATTACTGACCTCCAGCTTTGCTCTGCTTCTCCAATGAACCACCGCTAGCGTGTTCTAGGCACCGGCCATACAGGATCACCCCATTGAGTGCCGCACCATTCTGCTTGGACTTGTTTGGGCAAGTCCCTTTGGTGCAGTGGACTCAATGGGGTGGTCCTGCAGGGCCAGTGCCTAAAATGCAGCTGCAGTGGCATGTTGGAGAAGCATAGCAAAGCCGGAGGCCAGTAATTTTCGCTGCAAAAGACCTCCAGCCGCCGCATGGTTTTTCAGTGCAGCTGCAGTCCAGCCACACTGGAAAAAAACACACAGCGGCTGCAAGCATTCATGACAAGGGAGACGTGGGCTGGCAGGGAGACCAGTGACAACGATGGCTCAACCCTGGCTTGCCTTCCCTGGCAGCCAGCCATGGGAGGAAGTTAAAATCCCGGGCGCGGGACGACGAAAGAGGTGGTTGTGGGGGAGAAAACTGGAGATTAAGGGCCAGGGCCTCTGAAAGGGGAAACGGGGTGATGCAGGATTAGCCCATGCCTTTGACAGATTAGGCCACGCATGCCTGGGCAGAAAATAGGGAAGGGATTAAGGAAGGGATAGAGAGAGAAGGAATGAGAAAAAAAGAGAAAGAGAGAGAGAGAGAGAGAGAGAGAGAGAGAGAAGAAAGAGAGAGAGGGAAAGAGAGAAAGAGATTGAAAAAAGAGAGGGGGAAAGAAAAAGAAAGAGAGAGAGAGAAAAGAGAGAGGGAGGGAAAGAGAGAGAGAGAAGGAACAGACAAGAAAGTAAAGAAAAAAGGGAGAAAGGAAGAGAAAGGAAGAAAAGGGATAGTCAAAGAAAGAGGGGGGATGGAAGGAAGGGACAGAAAGAAAGAAAAAAGAATGCGAAGGAGGGAGGAGAAAGTGCATGAGATATCTAGTCCAACCACCTGCTCCAGCAGGGTTAGAAGGGAGTGTGAGTGTGTGTGTGTACATGGCTGTCAAAACTCCAAAAACAGGTCAAGTAGCTCTGGGGAGGTCAGTCATAAAGTAGAACACTTACTAAGCAACTGGCCATTAAGTGAAGACCACTTATATTTGATTTGCCAGTCACATGGCCACCTGGCCATGCCCACCCAGTCACATGACCACCAAATCATACCCATCTGATCACGTGACCACCAAGCCAAACCCACAAATTAGGCCATGCCCACAGAACCAGTTGTGTTAAGAAATTTAAATCCCACCCCTGGGTGGGGGGCACTGAGGATGAGTTTGTAGTACCAAGGGGGGCATGGACTGAAAAAGTTTGGGAACCACTGTTTTAGAGGGTCGTTGAAGCACTTGGAGGTTTATCTGTATCCTTAGGGTCACCCAAGTGGTGCTTCTGGTTCCCGTCATCTGCATTTTTTTTCTGGAAATACATTTCTACTCCCACATTATTCAAAGGGTGTTCATCCCAAATTATTTAGCTAAAAACTTTGAACAGCCTTTGAATGGTGTAGGAGTAGGAATGGATTTCCAGAAAAAAAATTGCGGCAATAGGAACCAGAATCACTACTCAGGTGACCCTGAGGACACAGATAAATCTTCAAGTGCTTCAACGACCCTCTAAAAGGATCGAAATAACCAGCTGTCTGCAAGGAGTATAAATCCTTCCATTTCCCATTATCCTGTTAGAGCTAAAGAAGCTTCTTGGATTGGAAGTGAAATGTTTTCAAAGAAAAAAACAAGAAAATCCAGTTGCCTCCTGAAAAAAGCACCTTTTGGACAATAAATTAACTGCTTAAATCTCTTAGCATGTGATCAGACAAATGTATGTACACATAAATGGTAATTTCTTTTATTCTGTATAAGGAAAACAATGTCACACCTTCCCTAAATTTTATCTTCCCCTCTATTCTCTTTCAACCACTGAAGCAACATACAATTGTTGCTGACTGGGAAAAATGCCTGGTTATAATATTGAAATCTGCCATCCTTTTACCATTTCAGTGAGAAATACACATTTAAACAAAACAAAATTATAACTTGATGGCTTCAAAGCTATTCTTTAGAGTACTAACTTCTAGATCCTTCTGCAAATGTTCAAACAAATGCAGACAATGTATTCTAAAAAACTGACAGTGGGATAGGGAATTGTAATATTACTTTCTATTTTCATACTGAGAACAGGGGACGAATTGGAGTTTTTTTTGCTCCAAGAATCAGCTTAAGAGGTTCTGATTGAATGAGGTTTTGCCTGTCCTCCAGTACCCTGGAGGAAGGGTACTGATTGGCATGATATTCCTTGCCTATTCTTTGCATTTTGAAAACCATAACACTTTTCAAAATTGTTTGAAAAGAACTAAAGAGTGGAAATAATACTGGGTAGAAGTACCATGAGCCAATGGACTAGATTGCACAGTAGTGTAAGGTTTGAAGGAATGAGTCAATAAGATGGAGATTTCTCTTCTTCCAATCAAATCAAGTGGTTTCAAAATCCTAAATAATTTTGCTTTCTTATTTGCAAATTTCAAAGATTTTTTCTTCCTTACATGAAAAGCAGAGGAATGATTGCATAGTATGATGGGTTCTCTGATATTGACACAATATGCTGGCCAATAGCAAAAGCACTAAGATTTATATACCGCTTTATAGTGCTTTACAGCCCTCTCTAAGCAGAGTCAGCATATTTCCCCCAACAATCTGGGTCCTCATCTTACCAACCTCGGAAGGATGGAAAGCTGAGCCAACCTTGAGCCTGGTGAGATTTGAACTGCTAAACTGCAGGCAGGCAGCAGTCAGCAGAAATTGCCTGTAGTACTGCATTCTAAGCATTGCATCACTATAGCTCTTAATACGTTTTATCTTATCTTTAGTGTCTGGTGGAATGCAAGAGTGATAAATTATTTATGCCTCACTCCTTTATTAGAATCTACTGAAATAGGAGATGGGGAAAGAAAACAGACCCAAATGTATTCCACTGCTTTAAAAAAAAAACTTTTATTTTTCCAACTGTTCATCTATCTTTTTCAGATTTATATCTGTTATGCAATATATTTCCTATTCATTTCTTATTCAAATTAACCCAAACCCCTTCAACACTTATAATCCTTTCAATCACTTTCCTTGAATCTTCTTATTCCCTCCAAAACAACCCTGTTTTCTTTCTTTTGTTTGTCTGGCAATAAATGAGTTTTCTTTATTGCGTGAGTGGGTTGAGATGTTTCCTGTGCTGCATATGTGGAAGGACATATGCATGATATAATTAGATGATATATTCCACAATGCATATTAGATAGTGATGATACACATATACTTCATGCCACACAATTAGAATAAAAGATATTAGTGTGCAACATTGGCCACATCAGGCTTTGCATAAATTTAATTACCCAAGCATTTAACTAGCACTTTTGCCTCTTTATTAGAATCCCTGTGAGTGGGTTGAAAATAATTTTATCTGTTTCTTAAAACTGGAAAGAAACTTGTTACTATCATGCATAATGTAGAAAAAAATGGTACTGTATTTTATATATTTCAAATATAATATATTGATATTATTCTACCCATTATTCTGTACATTCATATACAGCAATTTTTCAATCAGCAGCTACTTCATTTAACAACCATTTACAAATACAACAAATTTAAAAACATTTTCTGATCAATGTGCAAACTTAAAAACAAATTTTATGTGCCTCACAACACTGTAAATTGGGGAAAAATAAGTCTGATATTGCAGCATGGGAGAATTTTTGCAATCTTTCTCTCTCTCTCTCTCTCTCTCTGTCAAATTGTTCACTTAGCAAACATTTCACTTCTGATTTACGGAATAAATTGTGTTTCCAAAGTAAGAGAGGGTGTGCTCTATTACAAAGACAATTTAAACTATTAAAAAGATTGCATACACATAGTTCCTGAGTTACATCTACAACCGAGCCCAAACTTAAGTCATGTCAATAGTTAAGTGGGTCATCATGTGATCGGCCCAATTTTGTGACTTATTTTGTGCTGTTTATAAAATGAGCCAGTGAGAAGTAAACATCAATTTATGGCAAAAATATAAATCACAATTACATGAATAAAGATGTTGCAATGATTGTAAATTTTTGCTGGTTGCTGAGCACCTCAAATGCAATCACATCACCAGAAGGCTGCTACTGGAATTTCAAATCATTTGAAAAGTGCTATTTTAGGACCTCTTGTAAAGTCAAGGACTACCTGTATTGTCACTTACTCTCTAAAATATGTTATGTCACTATACTAATAGTATAACAACGAAGCAATAATTTACCTGTTTTGAGCATATCAAGGATGCCATAATGCACATATGTGGAGTCAGAAACAACTTTAGTCTCATTATTAAAATGGCAAGTATAGTAAAAAAAATTAGTTGCAATGCATGGTATACGATCTGCAAATAAAGGAGAGCATAAGAAAGTACAATTGTTTTAAATGTAGTGTATGGTACATAAGCATTAAGTAACATCTAATTTTTATTGAATCCTATTCTCCTGGGTATAGTATAATTTTTAAAATGTGATCGTTTTTTTAGTTTGAACTAAAAATTATGTATTTTAGAAAAAAGCAGCAACGGGACTTCCAGGAAAATGGCTAACTAAAATATATTCCCAGGGAACGATCTCTGAAGCATTTTTCCCTGGGGTGTAGCTCTTCAGCCTTTAATTGAAGGGACTGACATTCCTTCAGTTTTTATGACCCACCCGGTCAGTGTGAGTTGAAGAACTTCCCCTTGGAACCCTCCAAATACAGCTGACACCTGGCAAACAGCTTCTTGAGTTAGACTCCAAAGCTATCTGCATGCCAAAAGCTGGGGGGCAGGGGAGCTGCAATCTGTTCAGGGTTGAAGAAGCCGCCATTTTTGAAATTCATCTTTCAAACAGAAAGTTGTGCATTTCTCTTTTTAATCACCTTCAAAGACTATTAATCTTTTAAAAGTCAAGTTAAGAGGGGGAGGAGCTGGCATTGTGGTGGTACGACGTGCGATCTTAATGCTCTAAGATCGCCGTTGATACCTCAGCTGCTGGACAGTCCTCACGGACCTAAACCGTCCTGTAGAGACAGTAATAGAAAAGGGCATATCCTGTTGATCCCAGGGACATTGCAAAGTCCCTGGTTGATCCAGGAGTTTTCTGACGGCAGAGAGGCGGCCATTGAAGCCACTGAAGCTGGGACAGCTCTAGAAGGAAAAGGAAAGTGGAAAGCGAAAGTGTGTCGATCTGGTGAGATGATTTTTTAAAATACTACTATTTGAGAGAACACCCTGAGAAAAGGAAGAGAAAAAGTTTAAAGTAAAGACAGAAGAGGCAAAGCGGCAAGATTAAACCTGCAGTCAAGATTAGTGTGTTTATCTTCGTTTCCAGCCGGTCCAAACAGACCTAAACCGTCCCGTAGGGACGGCTATTGTGAAGGGCATACCCTGTAGACTCCAGGGACACCGCAAAGTCCCTGGATGACCCGGGAGAAGCTCTTTTTGCTGGCAGCGGAGAGGCAGCCCCCATGCTGCTGAAGTCGGGGCAGCTCCAGAAAGGAAGAGGCTGAAAGAGAAAGTCTGTCGGTTGGGTGAGAAACTTTTTTTTTCCTAATTTTTTGAGGTTTGAAAGGACACTTTGATTGCTAGAAGAAATCTGTGTGATTTTTGACAAAACTGATCAAGCGGCGTTTTTTTAAGGGAGACGTCAAAGCGAGGCTTTATTTTTATTTTTTTCGCTATCGGACTTCATTGTTAGTTACTGGATAACCGGACTGTTCTTTTTTATATATATATTTTCTATTCTCCCTTTGGATTTTTATATATATATTTAAGGCTAGAGGCTCCCTTTGGTTATTTTTTTTCCCTTCTTTTTTGTTTTGTATATATATGTATATACTTCTTGCGGGTTTTTTTTTATTTTAATTATGCTGTCCTGAGAGGAGGGGGGAAAGTGAGAACTAAGAAACTTTGTAACACTGCCAACTAGAGGCTTGGAAATATTTTACTTGAACTGGAGAGAGATGTGAAAGACTCCTTTTCAAGGACATTTCTTGATAAGATAGAGGGAAGAGCGCAGTAGAATATTATTACAGGTGCTCTTCTGGATTTCTGTCAACAATTAAATATTTATGGCTTGGCTTTGAAGCTTGTGGGAAAGGGAAGGGAGTCATAATTAGAGCCTTGGACAACTAAGCAGAGTGCAGTGTATTGTTTCTACTTTCTTTTTCTAATTTTTTTTTTTAGTTCCGCTACCCCCCCTATCAGCATTATTGTATATTTTTATTTTATTAAGGTTTTTATTTTTAATTTTTATTTATTTTCAAGGGGAAGCCTTCGAATTTTTCATTTTTATTTTATTTTGATTTTTTTTTCCATTGGGATTTTTGCTTTTTTTTTTTTTAATGTATACTTTTGGACTATCTCTTTTTTTTCCCAACTGAGATTTTTTTGGCTGGATTAAGGTGTGGAATTTGAAGAAATTTATTCTACTCTTCTTTTTTCTTTTTCCTCTTTTTGGCTTTAGTCTTGCTTATTATTATTATCATTGGGGTTTTTATTATTATTATTATTTTTATTCTTTTTTTGTGGATTACTCTATAATTGGATTAAGGTCAGGAAGAACCTGAAGAATTTTTCTTTTCTCTCTTTTCTCTTCTTTTTCTTTTATTATTGGGTTTTTTATTATTGGATTTTTTCACTTTGGATTATAATTGGCCACCTTTTTAATTGGATTAAAACTTGAAAGAACTTGAAGATCTGGAACCATCTAAAATGAGTAGGAAACTTATACCTTCGGGTGCCTCTGTGTCCACCTCTGCCTCCCCACCATCTGGACAACGTTCAATTCAGGTAATGTTAAAGCAAGATAAAGAAAAAGAACAAGAAAAAGTAACCTTACAGATGATTATGCAAGGAATTCAAGATCTTAAGATAAAAACAGATACCATTGAACAAAGAACAGGGAGGATGGAGGAAAAAGTGGAAAATATTCAACAGATGATGGCAAAGTACGAGGAGAGACTTCAAAAAGTGGAAGAAGGGGGTAAACGAAGAGAGGAGAAGATTGGAAATATGGAGAACAGATTAACAGTGGTTGAACAAGAAAAAAGTGGGATGCTGAAGTGGGAGATGGAGAGGTCAGAATTTTATCTTAGATTTCAAAATATAGAAGAAGAAAAAGGGCAAGATTTGGCTGCGATAATGATAGGAATCTTGGCGGACGCCTTGGAAATAACAGAGGAAAAGATGATGGATGGAATAGATGAGATATATCGAGTCTTTACAAGATACGCGATGAGAAATAATCTGCCCAGAGAAGTTCATATTAGATTTACTAAAAAATCCATGAAGACACAAATTTTACAAGCGGCAAGAGAGAAGATATTGAAATATAAAGGCAAAGAAATTTTGGTCTTAAAACAAATACCTAGAAGAGTGAGAGAGATGAGAAGAAAATATCGATTTCTGACCAAAATGTTATTGAAAAAGGAGGTGAGTTACAGATGGTTGTTCCTAGAAAGATTGATGTTTACATGGCAAGAACAGAGACATAGAATTGATTCAATTGAAAAAGCAGAACTTTTCTACGCAGAATTTTTTGGAGGGAGAGAAGAAGAGGCAGAAAAAGAGATTTCATTAATTGAATTTCAAGAGGAACAAATGGAGATTGGAAAAGAAGAAGGCGCAGTAGGTGGACAGGTGGATATTAAAGATCAGCGTGAATTAAGATCCACGAGAGTGGCTAAATCTAAATATAAAATATAATCATGGAAGAGAAAAAACTGATTACAATGAATATAAATAAATTTAGTCCAATTCAGCTGCTAAGAGAAGGAAGATTTTTCATAAATTAGGGAAATTAAAGTTTGATATAATTTGTTTACAAGAAGTACACATTAAAAAGCAACATGAACAATGGTTAGTACAACCAAAATTAGGGAAATTGTTTACTTCTTTGACCCAATGTAAGAAAAGAGGAGTGGTTTTATATATCAAAGACGCTACCCCAGCAAAACTGATTTACGCTGATGAAGATGGGAGGATATTAATGGTGGAAATAATGGACAACAATAGAAAGATACTTTTGACTGCAATTTATGCTCCGAATGATAAACATGAAGAATTTTATAAAAAATTACATATCAAAATGGCTGGACTGGACTATGTTAATATAATTATGATGGGAGATTTTAATGGAATCATGGACAATAAACTGGATTGTATTGCAACAACAGCAAAGTATAATAGAAAAATTCTCCCTAAATCTTTTTTTAAAATGATAGAAGAACTAACTTTAAAAGACATATGGAGAGAAAGAAATGCTAAACTTAAGCAATATACTTTTTATTCAAATAGACATTTATCATGGTCCAGACTAGATATGATTTGGATTTCAACAGATTTAATATCTAGCGTTCAAGAAGTAAACATTGAAACAAGTACTTGGGCTGATCATAACCCATTGACAATTAAATGGAAGGGACAAAAAAAAAGATCGAGATGGACGTTAAATAATACTATTTTAAAGGAGAAAGAATTTATACAATGGATGGAGAAAGAACTGGCCTTTTTTTTTTAAGAAAATAGAAAAGAAGACACTTCAATACAGAATGTTTGGGATACAATGAAGGCATATGCCAGAGGCTTGATAATAGACTATACAAGAAAAAAGAATATTAGGAAAAGGCAAACTATTAAAGCCTTGGAGGATGAGTATAAAAGACTTGAAAAAGAACTACAGAAAATGCCACAGAAAAAAGATGTTAAACTGAAACTGGATATAACTAAACATAAAATGGACTTAATAGAGAAAGAAGAACTGGCACAGAAAATTACGAATGCTAAACAGAATTATTTTGAAGACGCAAATAAGCCAGGTAGATGGCTAGCATATAAGTTGAGAAAGGAGAAAGAGTCGAGGAAAATATCGCAGTTAATAGATAACCAAGGTCAAATTTGTCATGACAGCAAAGAGAAAAAAGAAATTATTCGAGACTTTTATAGACATTTATATAAGAAAGAAGATATTGATGAGGAGAAGGTTAAACAGTATCTGCAGAATGCAAATTTACCTAAGATACCCAAAGAGACTGAAGAAATGTTAGAAAGTAATATAACAATGATGGAATTAAGTCAAGCACTTAAGAAACAAAATAACGGGAAAGCACCAGGTCCAGATGGGTTCCCTGCAGAATTTTATAAAACATTTCAAGAATCACTGTCTATTCCACTGTTAGAAGTTATGAATGAAGTTATGTCAAAGAAGATGATACCTAAAACATGGTCAGAGGCCTATATTACACTTATTCCAAAAGAGGAGGTGGATCCACTCCAAATTAAGAATTATAGACCGATCTCCTTATTAAATGCAGATTATAAAATTTTTGCTTCAATATTAGCAGAAAGATTTAAAAAATATT